AACATAATTGATGAGCACTCTAATTAAATTCAGTAATAAGTTGCCGATCAATTCCAATTGTAAAGATAAATTGTGTCTCACCTATTTCCACTTTTTAAAAATCTGAATTTGTTAAACATTAGTGTAAAAATCAGATTCCATTAAAAACTGATTTATTTGTCTATTTACCTATTTACCTGTCCTCCATCCCAACAGGAGCGAATTAAAAACTGCTTATACAGTAATTATATGTTTATAAAGATAAGTATTTGTTTACACAAGTATTCCACCTATTCCCACATTAAGTTTTCTTACAGTCCAGAGATGTGGAAAACTGCAGGTTATGCAGGCAGAAACGAATAAAAATGCATACATGTATATGACCAGTAAAAACGCCATCGATGTGGGTCTAATTGATCAGCCCTGTTGTTTTTTGTTAAAGTTTTGGTTTTCCTGTTATCATCAGCGCATTTTCCAGATGTGTTTATACAGTGCCTTTGTTAATTTAATGCATGCAAAGGTGTGAAGTCAGGGCAGGAAATCACTTTTCTCTTGAACGCACACAGCCACCTGGCCAGGTAACGTACCTCAGGCGGTTAAGGGATAGGAGATAACACGAGAAAACAACATTTGACTGCATTGATTATGCAAGAATTAGCTCATTGTCAAAGATAGATTAACGTGTAAATTATTGTAATAAATAATTTAAAATGTTTTTAACCGAAAGTAGGGAAAAAGAAAAGTGAAAATCAAGACTGTTGCTTTTATTTGAATAAAGTCAATAAACTGAATGTTATATTATATCCTTTTGAGAAATGGGCTTGGAAACAACAAAGTATGAAGTTATATACTTTTAATGATGCTGTTACATGTATGTTTGAGGCCAGGGTCAATTAATATATACCATTTACTTTTATTTTTAAAGTAATATATCTTATTTCTTTATTAAAAAATTCAAATTTAAATGCACGGTAGAGAGTGCCCTCATGAAAACTTGTCGCGCATAAAGTGCCCTTTTGATTCTGGATTACCATGCCCTTTTTAGGGTCTAGATTTAACACTTTCAGGAGTGATGTGTAATGAAGTAAAAAAAAAGTTATATACTTTTGTTTTGTTTGTACACACACACCCTCACACACACACACACACATTTGAGGCTTCAGACCGGCTAAAAATCACATTCTGGCTTATCTTGTCTTTCTTGTCTGTCCGAATAACTGGCTATAAAAAAAGTTTTCCACAACTCTGCTTACCTAATTTTTTAATAGTGGAATTAAAAGGAATTGACCTGATAGATGATACAAGCAATTTAAAAAAAATCATGAAACTAACAACTTCATATGTTTATATGGGTAAGTAGAATATAAAAATTTAGCCACATATGTCTTTGAAAATTATCAATACATGAGCACTTAACGGTGTCTTGGTATTTTACAACTTATGAGAATTTGGAACACATATGAGAACTTTGAACACAATTATATATGAAAACTTTGAACACAATTATATGATAACTGTGAACACCGACCTTGAATTTTATTGAATTAATATAAGAACTTTGAACACAGTCAAGATCTGGATTTAAACAATTTAATTTATGAGAACTTTGAGCAATTCAACAATTAATGAGAAGTCTGACCAGTACGTGCCTTTGAAATTTAACAAGTCATGAGAACTTGAACGATGTCTTTGCAAAATTTTTTTTGCAGTTTATGTGAACTTTGATGAGTGTCTTTGAAATTTTACAATTTATAAGAACTTTAAACACAATTATATGAGAAATTTGAACACAATTATAAAAGAACTTTGAAAACTGCCTTTGAATGTTATTTTTGATAATTTCAACTCTTACGTCAACTTAAAAAAAACCCAGCAGATTCAATTGTCTGAACTATAAGTTAGGAAGAACACATTAATTCAAACTAAGATTAGAACAACAGGCTTAGAGGCATACACAGATTTTTTACCTGATCAGTAAATAAACTTGCAATCATGCTTCCGCCTATCAGTACTCTCAATACTTTGATTATATGTTGAGTTTTGTATATTAATTAATATTTCATTATGGATGTGTTTGTAGATTGAAATTTAAATTGATTTCCTAGTACAGTAATACAATGATGACTTCTAAGAGATTATTTTATAAGCTATGAGGAATGAAAATCTCTTCACTGTTTTTCATTAATGATTATAAATGTGTTATAACTATGTTTTACCATGTTTACTGTAAGGAAAATCTTGTCGAATCCAGCGAACACTGGTTCCAAAGAAATTGGCTGGATAAGACGACATTCCAGCTAGATTAGACAACATTTTAATCAATTAAAATTTCTGAAATGAACTTTGGACTTACATCGTATTAGGGAAGTTTCGGAATACACAACATCTGGATTAAACAAGTTTCACTGTCTACATGGTATACAGGAAGTTAAATGTACCTCTTTTTTATGTCCATCATCGACTTCCTTTTCCTCTGAATCCTCCTCCGCAACAACTCCCAAATGTCTTCCTGAATAATCATCCAAAAAAAGTAAAATTTAGATGATAGAAACAAGTCACAACTTATTCCAGCAGGAAGTGACATATCAACTTTATCGAACTAATATAAAAAAAAAAAAACAGAATTGTATAGTGGGCACTTGTAATTTAAATTAAGTTGATTATTCAAACTGACCTCTTTTTTTAGCTCTCTTGACTTAATAAAAATGTAATTTGTCCACAAAAAAATATTGAAACTGAAAAAATGATTAAAGTCATCTAGTGTAGACGATATTATTCCCATGTAACTTAAATTGTTCCCCTATTTTGCCCTACCCTAACCTAAAGGGCCATGTTACATGTATGTGCGATGTTAAATGGCTTTATGTTCAACTTCAGTGTGGCAGGACTAACAAGCAAAAGCTTTTTACACAATCTGAACAATTTAAAAAAAAAATTTATCCTCTACTAATCTTGTTCAGAATTTTTGTTCATGTCATCTTAAAAAATTGCTCGTTTGCCCTCTCCCAAATGACTGGCTAAAAAAGGCCCAACTCAAAATTTTTAACCTCCAGGAAACAATAATTATCCTTGAGTTTTCTCATCCCGTCAGTATGTATGTTGATATTTAATAGAAAAGAATTTTCCCATCTACCAACCGACCCAATTTTTTTACCCTGAGTCTGGATAGGGCAAACAAACATTATCTTAAAGATACCGGCCTCGTTTCTCTCTCAGACACATCTGCAAAGGGCTAACATCAAGTTTTTTTTTTAAGAAAAAGGCTAAAAAAATTACATACCAAGGATACATATAATTATTAAATTAATAGTTCTATACATACTCATTATTACATTATTATATTAAGACAAACATTAGTGCTAGCTTTTTTTTTTTTTTTTTTTTTTTGGTTATCAAGAATTAAAACAAACACACTACTGATATTTATCAGGTTGGTCAAATTCATCAAGCCTTTGAAATTGCATCAGTAACTAGCTTGCAAATTTAAGTCCCAATCACAGGGTGTACAACACCTACACAATTTAAATTATTTAATCTGACTGTGTCTCAGGTCAGGCCCTCGCCACAGTTAGAATGCTCCAAATATGCATGTACTTACAATGTAGCAGATATTCTAGGATCACTTTGAAACGATTTTGGAAAAAATAAATGATGTTGCCTTGAAAATAACCATCAAGTTATTAAAAATCATGTCACACTTACGAGTTTATTTGATGTTGTGGATGCATTTTACCCTTAAAAAAATCTGTATAATATATAATTTTCCCCAAGAATTTGTCATTGAAGTATTGCTACTTTAACAAGTTTCCTCACCAAAAATTGAGGTACATGTACCTTACCAGCCATTTGGGCAAGATACCAGGAGGTGATTATATATATATATATATATATATATATATATATATATATATATATATATATATATATATATATATATATATATATAATCCTTACGGGTAATGTTTCGAATTGCCAACGTAACAATTTTTGGTGTACTTATTTTCTAAAACATTAAAAACAGTTTAGAAATCACAAGAGAATGACAATTATGAATGATATTTGATATAATACCAAGGTATACAAAACAGATATTTAAGGAACGTATCGTCTGACCTTAATTTAAGTTTTACATTCTAGAATTTAATGAAATTCAACATTTATCAGCAAAGGTTTATTTAAAGACTGATAGACGTCGATTAGCATTCGTAAACTATAATTCGTAAACTATAGTTTACAACCGTTAGATGAAAACTATTATTAACGAATCGTTAAAAATCGTTTACTGTTCGTATCTTAGAGTTTACAATCGATAAACCTATTTTATCCACTTTCAAAGTATGTTTTTCTCTTTTTTGAATTTGGCGTCATAAATACACATTATTCTGTGAACTCAGTGACATTTTTGTAAGCATTTTCAATTACTTAACTGCTGATTTTAAGAACCCGAGGTTCAGATAACCTTAAAAAAATTAAGATTTATTTGTTTTAATTTAGCATATGTATGTTGTAGGTGCAGATAAATAGCTTTCAAAAAGTTAATTTTTTGATGCGAAGAATTCAGGTGTAATCAAATATACACTTTTAAACTCTTATAAATCTTAAAATTGTTCATCGTTAAAAAGTTCTTTAGAAAAATGAATTATAACGGTCATATATTTATGTATATACAGCAAACAATCATGTCTTATCATCAATTAATATTCTATTTCTTCACTGAACAAAATTATGTGACGAAGTTAAATTCATTTTAAATTAGCAAGGGATATATATCCTTGATCTGTTGCATAGAAGTTACATGGACAGACATGGCCAATTATACTAATTATATAATCTTTATATCTTTAAATTATAAAATCTTCTTCTACTCAGTCATATTTTCCCGTTACACTTGTGAATACTCGGTGAGAATCGATACATCTTTCGAAGATAAACAGAGCCTAAGTAGTTTGACTATTAAACATATATCACTCGGCGCATCTTGGTGTTCCTCTGAAGAACAGAGTTATTTTTAGCATTTCAGATGAATCTATATGCGTACACATCAGATTCTGTTGTATGCCGCCATGATGGTTTTGTATGAAGGTAAATATTATGTAGTTTTCAAGAACTTAATTACCGCATGCACCGTGCACGTATATAAAGATTGAACCCAAAGGTTATTCTTTATCGGTCAAGAACGTGTAATGAAATTAAGTCATATCACAGAACACAGTAATTTTGTATAGAGGCTAATATGACGGATAACTTTTATCAGATCAAAGCATTGTCAATGCAAGTACCGTGACAAGAAATAATTTTCACGGTTTGTTTATTTTAGTAAACGAGGTCAGAAAAACACCACTGTACAAGGCAGGATCATGTCCAGATCAATAGAAACCCTCGGGCTCGTGTTTGTAAATAAAACTTAATGGACTTAATGCAGATAATCCAAGGATACCAAATTTAACTGCTGAATCTGTGCGCAATTTACACGAAACATACTGGGTTTTTTTCACCCAAGAATGTGTGAATCCGTAACATGAACTGAATAACCTAGGAAAGATGGTGTACACGAATATCGTAAAATTCGATCATTATTTATACAAGAATTCTCTGTGGAATATTTGACGATGTACAAGCATTTCTTTGAAACAGACAAACTCATCTACTATGGCGAAAGAGAAGACGGTATTTTCTGAAGTTCCACAAATTTTAACCATCATAAAAACTGGATTTCGGTGGACGTACAAAGTGGAATGTGGACTCAGCCCGAGTCATTTTTACGTAAGTGGATCAAACAGCGTCATTAAACACCTGGGTACAAGCGGAGAGTTACGAGAAGAAATAGTGACTAAGTCCAAAAATGTCCCTCGATGTTTCACAGTCAACAAAAAAGGACAATTGATTTACAGTGACAGTGTTGATAGAAGTATCAATATCGTTAAAGGACGTGAAATCGAGCGTCTAGTAAGACTCGGGGGTTGGAAGCCAAATTCAATCTGCAGTACAACCGCAGATGAAATACTCATGGCTTTGAAAGCTGATGACGGGGATGAGGCGAAAGTAGTTCGTTACGCAAACTCCAAAATGACCCAAGAAATACAGTACAATAGCGATGGACAACCTTTATATTTGGACCCGCACTATATTGACGAGAATAAAAATTCCGATATAGTGGTCAGTGATTTTGATAAAAAGGAAATTATCGTGGTGGATAAAGTTGGGAAATACAGATTCAGTTACCATGGAAACCATCTGACCAAAATGCACGAAGAATTTTCTCCGCGTGGTATAACGACAGACAGCATGTGCCAAATTTTGATAGCTGATTTTGATAATAATTTGATACATATTATCGACCAGGATGGTCAATTTTTACGGTATATAGAAAACTGTAACCTGCATTTACCGTTGGATCTTAGTACTAACAGTGACAATGTATTGTTTGTTGTTGAATATTACAGCAACAAAGTGAAGGAAGTTAAGTATTTGAAATAAAAATATTAGATAGCCAGGATAAATTTATCCTAAATAATTCCAGCATTTGACATTTTTATTTACGTTTCTCCAGCTTTCTGAAGGTAAACTATAATGTACCTACACTAGTACATGTATGTGAATAGTATTTAATCTTGATAAAATTTGAACATGGAATTCCTATGTTGTGAAAATCATATTCTTGTACATACAAATGAAAAAATAAAGTTTTATAATACAATATTTGTTTATATTTATAAAATTTTCAGGACCCTGAAAAATATTAAAATCTTCACTTCTAGTATATTAGCTACATCAACTGTTCTTAAGTTTACATTAACTAACATAAGCTGCGTGTAAATATCCAATTGTATGAAAATGCAAAGAGCATGGAACGTTTTTGAAAACGGATTTATTTCTTGACATATTCTTAAACAGCAGTAACACCTTATAGATTCACACCATGATAATAAAGACAGAATTTATGTGCAAAACATTGCACAGTGTTAAATGCATACATGCACACATAAGTATTCTGGTTTGCAAGTGGTTTGCAAATGTATAAATTTTAAAAATAAATTTTATCTTGAAAATTTTATATGATATATTGATAATATCAGATATGTGTAACTTAAAGTGTAGATCTAATTCTCACTCAGACTCTTATTAATATACGTAATATTTGTAATTCAACAAATAGAATTAAATACTTCATGGACACAGTGACATTACATAGCTTTGAAAATCAAATTGTGGAAGTACCTGTGTTTGTCACCTAGTATATCAGAATTTATATATCAAAATTTACAAACAATCCTATAAAAAAAATAATAAATTCTTAAAAAAATAATTTTTTTATAAAATTGGACGGGTTAAAAGTTAAATATCTACAAAAATAATATATAAAATTAGAAATGTATCACAGATGCAGGGTAAACAACAAATCACAGAACTAACTCAAAAATCTGACTCTCAAAAAAGATACATGTACATTGCTTTTGCCATAAGGTACAAATAAGACGGTTGACAAACATCCATGTCCTTTGCCATATGAACAATTCCTAGGAAATGTATGAAAAGATTCACATCTGTGCGGGTCTCTCCCTTTGTTTGCCTGGGCTGTCATCCCTAACACTCTGTTGGTCCTGGGTCGGGGCAGGGGTCTGCGGGACCGTCCCATGTACATTCTGTAGTGGCTCCTGCTGTTGAATGTATTTGTCCATCAGCCATGCTTGGTCCTTACGATTAAAATTTCTGCTCAGTTCAAAGAGATTAACCACCGACATTCTCTGAGAAAGGTTAAGGAGAGGTCATTTCTGCCCATTTGAACAAACTGCATTACATATCATAATTAAGGTTTATCATTTCTCAGTTCATTCGTATAAAATTTTACTTTGATAATGATTTCAAAAGAAATCTAAATTGTATTTGAAATGCAAACAATTTTAATGTTCTCTGTAAAAATTTGTCAGAAACTGCCCTTTCGCTTGACAGCTTTTTAAGGGGAATAACAGTTATTAACCTCATTGAGAGTTATATCTTATAATGGGGTCAATAAACTTAATTTCATATTTAGTCTATTTTATATAAATCTCAAAGCAAAGGTTTAGCTTCAGAATGCTTGATTTTGTATTGTTGATGCAAGCATTATTAAGGATACAGATTTCTGAGGAAGGGGAGGTAACTGGAATACAGATGGAGGTTGAGACAACCTTAAATCTGTGGAACCTGAAAACAAAAATAAAGTCCTTTAATACATTACAAAATACATCTACATTCATAATAATTACAGTAGCTAAATGAATTGATAATAAAACACATGCAATTTATTCATAATCAATTTATTTTAAAATGTCAGGTAAACTAATGAAAGAAGCAGTAAATATAACAATTATTAAAATTAATGAAATTATTTCAAATTAAGACAGATACTTGTATATATTTAATTTTCTTGACCAAATGAATAATAAATGAGATTAACAGGATCTGCACTTGTGATACAAAAGAAAGGAAATTTTATTGAAATAATCAATTATTTATTTAGTTCTATAAAGCTTTGTCTTGAACAAGAATTCTAAGTATCCATGAGACTTGACCTTGTTCAAAAAATGGTTTTTGTTTTGAAAAATGCAAAACACTTCTCTTTAAAGGGACACACCCCCTGTTTACATTTTCTTTACATGTAACTCCAATGAAATAAATTGTTCCAAGATTTTGAGTTTGATGTGTCTATTGTTGGGTCATTGTCCCCAGCCCTTGGCTTAGTGTGCCTCTAATATATAACTTGCAGTCTTGATAATAACTATTGTATCAAACAACAGAAAGAGGAAAGGGATGGAAATTGTTGGGAATTTCTATGAATAAAACCTTATTTAAAATTGAATATGAGTGTTTAACTATTTTATAACTTACCCGTAGGATGGAAATACTGATGTGCCCTGGGATTGTAGATAGTGGCATTGTTGGTTTTTGTTGGCATAAACAATGCTGGCAAGCTGACATCTAAAAATATAAACAGTACACTGTATATCTGATAAATAATTTATCCAGCAGAGTAATGCATATTTTTGTTTACCCTGGTTATAATCTTTTTTTTTTTTAATTCAATACAACAATTTGAAATTAAGTGTACTAGTTTGCCTTTTCACTGTTTTTGTTCTCTCCAATTGTAGACAAAAAGTATTAATAGGAGGCCCATGGGCCACAATGCTTGCCTGAGTCACTCTGGCCCTGCTGTTCTTCAGCAGCAGATTTTTTTTTTTTTTTTTATAATTTCCCTTTAATTTCATAAAAATTTTGCCTCCATATTGTGAACTAAAATTAGGCCTAGGAGACCTATGATTTATTCTAAATTCAATCTACACAATATTTGGATGCTTCCATATCAATATGATCAACATAGCCCTGCTGTCCTGGAGTTTTTTTTTCCCCTAAATACGTGTACATGCATTATGTAAAATTTGGATCTCTGATTTTGGCCCAACCATAACCGTATGGCTCATAATTTTGAAAAAAAAAATATCCACATAACTTGGGTATGTTTTGCTTTTTGATATGATTTAGTGCAGTCCTGCCACTCTTGAAAAGATTTCTTCCTATATACTCTATTGTAAAACTTTGATCCCTATTGTGGCCTCAACCTACTCCAGAGGGCCCTGTTCTGAACAAACTTTAATCTAAACTACCTGAGAATGATTGCATATCAATAGGACTAAAAATGACTTTGCTGATCATAAGAGCAAGAATTTTAAAGATCTTTCCTAAATATTCCTATATAAAACTGGGGCCCCAACCTACCCCAGGGGCCATGATATGAACAAATATGAATCTACTCTACTTGAGGATGCTTCAATATAAATATGACTAATCATAACTCTGCTGTTCTTAAGAAGATTTTAAAGACTTTTTTCTATATATTCTTATGTAATAAGAGTTTTAATGCCTTATGTGAACCCACCATACCCCAGGGATCATGATTTGAACAAACTTGAATCTACACAACCTGAGGGTGCTTCTGTATGTGCTAATAAGACTAATCAATGGCTTTGCTGTTCCTCTTGAGAAACAGATTTGTAAAGATTTTTCCTAATACATATTCCTCTGTATAGCTACATCCCTCACCCTTCATTGCATCAAACAGCCCCTCCTCTTTCCGGCTGAGTTTATTCTGCCCCGCCAGCTTTTTTTCTAGCTCCTCTTGGATCGTTTTCATGGTCCGCTCCTGGTTCTCCTGTTGGTGTTTTTTACTGGTCTCCTCAAACCAGGCCAAGCGTGACATGAACTACAAATAGAACATGGCCAAAATGCATCATTATCTTGGCTAGTATAAATGTCAGTTTTTAAATACTGGTATAATGTGCCTCACTATTTTTGTGATTAAGATTGTAGCATCTAATCCTACTTGCTAAACTAGAGATCTAGATCTATTGAATGTACTGTATGAATTAATAAACACTTGTTATTGGTAAGTACATATTGTAACAGTAAAATTAGCATAGAATGCAAGGCTGTTGCTTTACATAGAGCTAAGTTGTTGCTATGATATTAAATGCAACCTTGATACCATCAACTGTATATGATTTAAATTTCTTTCTTCATTTTGTCACTGAGGGGAAAATACAGTTTTTTATTGGAGGATTTATCTAATAAAACTTTTATTTTGAACAAACTACAGAGGGTAGAAATGAAAAAAAAAAAATGAGAGGCACTTTTTTAATATGCAGTGTGAATTGATTTCCTATAATTCATTAAACAACCAATAAACTACAAGTAATTCTTACATCTTCTGGAACATCAGAACCCAGGGTTGGGAGGGGCCTGCTGGCCTTGAATTGTTTCCTTTGGAAGGAGGGAAGATCTGGCATAGAGTGACCCAAAGACTGATTTTCTGTTCTAGACTCATACCTAAAATTAATTAAAGAATTATAGAAATGATGAATGAATCTTACAAGATGTGCAGAATTTTGAATTTATTTAAGAAATAATGTATCATTTTTAAACATCTATCGGGATATAAATACGGGTTGGTATGAGATCAAATTTACCATAAAGCTTCGGGCTTTATGGTAAATTTGATCTCGTACCAACCTGTATTTATATCCCGATAGATGTTTAAAAATGATACATTATTACTTATATTTACATTTATGACTTATTCATATTTTATGTTTTCCTGATTATAATCTTTAACGCGTGAAATGTTTTATTTTTCAAACTCAACGGCATGTATTTGATCTATTGATTGCGCGCCAACCCTTTATGACGTCACAGAGAAATTACGTCGAACGTTTATGACGCGAGGAACCCGTGTTTATACGGATATAGATACGCATTGCTTTTAATAGTGTTATATAAAAGAAAACATTTGCAAATTTTCAAAATAAGCTTACCCAATAGGTGTTAGTGTGTCATAAGTCTGTGGTGTTTTTGGCAGCAAGTTTATGTCTTGACTGACTCCAAGACTGGGTGATACCATAGTGGAGGGCTGAAGCTGTGAGGGGGTCTTAGGGGGGACAGCTGAGGTTCGCCCCCCACTAGCAGATGACCGCTTACTGCTGCTGGACACTGGACGCTGGTGAACAAGTGGTGGACGATTCTGTTGCTGTTGCTGCTGTTGCAGGAGCAACTCTTTCTGTTCAAGCTGTGTTTGCTGCATTTGTTGCAGGTTCTCTAACAATTCTTGTAGACGTTTTCTATGTAGCAAATCAAGAAAAAGATCAATTTTGGTTTTCAAGAACTTAGTGTGATAAAAAATACACTCAGATAAGTAGGAGTAATTTAACTTGTTCAACATCGTTGAAATTGAATATACAAACAATGCCATTTATTGATTTAACAAAACAAAATAAAATGACTGATGAAAATATTCTTGCAGCTTAAATTAATACTTTATCTTGGCATTAGTTAGTAAATAGTATGGAAGGAATTTGATAACCTGAAGAGATAAGAAATGTCAGAGCATCACCATACCCTCTCAAATACAACCCAACATTTAGTGATACTCACTCATACTCGGCCTGCACCAGCTGTAATTCCTCACTGTGTTTTCCTATCAGCTTGTCATATTCTGCTTTTGTGACCATATCCTGCAAGTTCATTAAGACAATATGACAATTCAAGACTGAAATATTGGTTAATAAATGTTTTACATTAATATGAATCATTAATATCAATGCGTGACCTGCTTACTGTTTTTTATTTAATCTATTACATAACATAAATCTTCACTTTAATTTTTTTTTCAATTAAATAAAAAAAAAAACAAAAAAAAACAACAAATTTTTGTGCAAGTAAATTTCAAACTTTTCGCACTAAAAGTCCACCACTTTACACATACAAAATGTAACCCTAAAATGGAATTCGTGTTCCAAGTATTCAGGTCAATTGTGGTAATATAAAATCTCTCATTTGTTTAAAAAACATTCATACATGTACATGTGCAATGCAAAATGATGTTTGCAGTGAACTTTGAAAACAACAGTGAGTATTCAAATTTCAAAATATGGAAATTTTGTCATGTCAACTTCAGTCATAATGTTTAGAGAAAACATTTTTAAAAGTGTCCATGTTTTAAAAACTTAGATGTTGTCCTTACAGAATTTCAATTCACCACAAATGAATTCATCCATTCTTTGAAACAATCTCACACGATTTTGTTCATAATATTTTTCTTTAACTATGTTTTCTATCCTCCTAAGTGCTGTGTCACAAACTGCACACATGTAAAATAAAACTTCTTGAAAAAAACATTTTTCAAAGTGGATTAATTTTTCATATAACTGAAACTTACAACACCATCAACATTCTGTTAAAAGACAAATTTATACTGAAGTCATAAACTTGCCTTATGTACATGTACATGTGTACATGGAAGGGACTTTGCATGAAAACGTGATACTAGTTATAAAACTGAAGCCATGGATATATTCTGTGTACATTCATTTTCATTGAAATTGATGAAAAATTCAACATATTTCTGGAAATATGTATTTCAGTGAACAATTTCACTAGTAATTGTATATTATAAGTAAATTAAGTATAATTTCCTTAATAAATCTGAATCTGCATCCAAATTGTGAAGAAGTCACATCTGCATGCATTATTCTACATTTTGCCTAGCATTTTATTACCCCCCCCCCCCATTATATATTTAATTTACCTCTTTTGGAGGTTCTGGTTCAGCAGGAGGAGGTGTTTTAGGGACCTCGATGATCTTTGGTTCTGCCTGAACTATGACCTCTTTGATGACCTCTTTCTCTACGACCTTGACCTGCACCTCTGGCTGCCACTCCATGGCAGATGCTGCTCGGCTCTCCGTTTCTTTAAACATGTCCTCTTTTTTCCAGGTTTGAAGATCGATGCCAGCAATGTCCATGATAAAGTCATTGAAGGGGACAGTGCCTGTATAAAGAAGAAATTAATACAACAATGAAGCTACTTATATTAATCAAACAATGAATTAAATTTAAAAGAATGTCTTTCGAATCAATGTTAAAGAAATTCAAAGGCAAAATACAAAAAAAATTGTCTTTTAAATCAATATTAAAGTAATGACTTTAGATTCAAATTTTAAGTAATTCAAATGCAAAAGAGAAATAAAAGAAGCTTTCCTCTGGAAACAACCAGATTCAAAAGAAAATGTAATGCAATGTTTCTTCACTGAATTTGCACACAGTTTTCTATAGCTAAAATTTAATTCAAAGCTAACTTTTTTCTATTAGCCTTAAAAAAAAAAGACTCTTATTAAGATTTTCAACAACCATCAATAGACTGCAGAACCCCTACCATTATTTCTATTCCACACTTTGGGTTTTGCCCGCTTGGCCAAGTAAAACACAATGGGCACATTTCCACACGGCTCGTGGACATTATCAGTCTTCTTAGGGTTGAGAGCAAAGATTGGGAAGTGGAGAGGCTCCACCTTTTTGAGGATATCATGCTTCTCCACTGGGGCCCCATTCTCAGTTTTTGGAGAGGGGGGTTTGAGGTCTAGTTCTTCTACCTTCTCTCTCTCCCCTGGGGGAGGAGGAACATCATCATCCCCGTGGGGCTCTGCGAGGAACACAGTCTTTATGTCCTTTAACAAAAGTAATTAATTAAAGAATGCATCAACAAGATTTTGCACAATCTGAAACATCTTTAAATAATTAAATGTCATTGAATTTTTATATGTTCATTTAATACATTAATAGTCATGATTTGGTTACTGATACAAGTAAATCTTTTAATTTTTATAAAAGAAAATAACTCTTGACTGTAAATGATATTTCATTCTAAGTGCTTTGTTTTTAATTTGTGCAATTAAAGGAAAGATTTTCTTGACATGAGAATAAAATGCTTATGTCAATGTGGACTAAAAAGTGCTAAGAATGACTGAGATAAAATGCAAAAATAAAGCTAAGCAATAAATATGTTCCATTGTACCTATTTTACAGAGCTGCAGCTCTGATTTTTTTTGTATTCAAAGTTAACCCTAACTACATGTATGAATTAGTAGCAATAGCTGTATTTACATTTAGGCAACAATCATAAATAAGCACCACATAGAGTGTACAAAACTCTAATTAAAATATTAATCATCTAATATAATCAAACTCCAGATAACGAGGTTCGACTGAAATGTGTACCTGTTCGAAAATGTCATCCAGGTCAATGGTTGCCATGGCGAACATCTCTTCTGTGGGGCCTTTATGAACGGAGAGTTTCAGGCTTTTGGGTTCATCCTCCTTGCCTTTACGCCACACACTATCATTTCCAAAGTATTCTGGGATGTCAAAAAATATCTCCTGATATCTGATGAAGGAAAAAAAATGGTGATGAAGAAAACACAAAAAATGAATTAAAGGTATCAGAATTAGACAATTTTTAACATTATAGCCAAAAAAAAAAAAAAAAAAAAAAAATGAAATAAGTCTCAACTTTACTTTGTTTTCATTATTTTATCTTACAAGAAAAATATAAAACAGTCATATATTTTTAAAAAAAATTATTACAAAAATATCGAAAGGTTCTGGAATAAATACATGATATTATCTAGGAGTGATTTAGTATTAGTTACCAGTAAAGGAAAGATATATTAAAGACAAGGCAATCCAAAATGGCTCATAATCACAATGACTTGAATCCAGGAAAATTTTACTGTAACTTAATTTCCTACTATTTGTTCAGCATGCAACTATATATTATTTCAAACATATACAAACATCTCTAACAGAAAATCTGACTCTCATGCTTAAATATATAATTTAATAATCAACTCTTCTATATAAATCTGATTTTCTCTCTATACTACATGTAACATGCATATAGAAAGCCATCAATTTATCTCCATCTTTTGCAATAAAAAATATGGTTTAACTAGAAAACTGACCAGTCAGCAAGGGCCCCGCCAAGGGGTAGAAATATAAGGGTGCAGCTTATAAAATGAGAATTTTAATTGATTACAAAAATTTAAAAAAAAAAAATATATGAAGAAGAATATGCAATAACAACTGTATTTATAAAATTTCAAGATAATTCCTAAATATCCAACAACCTGTAAAGAGTATCCCTGTATTAATTTACATAAGGCAGTAAAAAAATGTTCTATCTAAAATAACTCAATTAAATGTATATTTAAACAAGAATAAAGCATGTGTTTTATAAAATGCCAGCCTTCAGTGAATGCAGTTATCACCCAGGCTTGACCTTAACTTCAAAAACAAACATCAGTTGCAGACAAAGGTTAATTTATCTTAAAGTGACAAATAAAGATAAGCCTATAATTTTCTGCCCCAGACAAGATAATTAATCCCAGGGGATATATTGTACTGCTCTCTCATCCTTTTCTTCCAAGTTACAATAAGAACTTTTTCAGTATAATGATCGAATGAGTTTATTATCGGACTACCTGTTAAAATTAATAATATTCTTGAATTTACATACGGCAGCAAAAAAAAAAAAAATAAATAAATAAATAAAATAATAAAAAAATAAAAAAAATAATAAAACAAACATATCTTTATGTATATCTTGTTTTAGAATTCAATAAAATCATAAGTCATTGTGTATTTTACCAAAATAAAGTATGGACATTATTTAAATCCACATTTCAGAGAATGTAAACATAATTCAGAATTGACCTTAACTTCAAAATAAACTTCATTTGCAGACAGAGGTGTTAATTAATCTCAATTTGACAGAAACAGATAAAGCTTTGGATTTTCTTCAAGAGGAAAGTTAATTAATCCCATGGGACTAGTTGCAGCTTTCATAGTTTACAATAGGAACATTCTCAGCAGTTATCTCTCTTTGCCCTGACATTCATTCTAATGTAAAGTTAAGGAATCTACCCCACCACCCCAGCTCCAAACTGGATGACATGGAGAACCAAACTAAGCATCAAAATATGTCTTACTGCCTCTTCAACCAACATATCAAATTTGAACTTAATTGGTCAACTACAAAAAAAGTTATTAGAAAAAAAAAAAACAGAAAATTTGTGGATGGCAGAATGACAGACGGACAGACAGACAGACGGACAGACAGACAGACAGAGTGATTACTATAGGGCACCCGCAAATCCTTGCTGGGCCCTAATAAGGTACGAGATATTAAAAACATTCATTTATTTCAAGAATATTGGTTTTGAAAAACTTGCAATCTTGCAAACCCAATGCAGGGGAAATCTTAATGCTTCATGCAATGTTGCTCATGCAATACTGTAAACATGGAAATCTACTTGTGGGGTTTATTTACACTAAATATGCCATAAAAAAAAGATTTCTCAAAAATAACATCCCCACCCTCATTGTACTAATGCCTTTATACATGTATCATGGAAATAACTCCCCCTCGTAATATGCTTGCATGGTACCAATTCCCATTAATTAATAAGATGAGTAAATATATCCATGTTTACAGTATATCGTCCTATTTCTATCACTTCTCACAAAATCATCATGCATGCATACGCAACTGTAGCCACAAGTAATTCTCTTATAAAAAATTTGATCACTGCACTAATGGATTAAAAATGCCGTGACCAGTGTTATATGATTTCAAATAATGAAATGGATTAATTTCCTATCTATTTCAGTCCTCCTAACTTGTCAAGACATGTATTATTGAGCAAAGGGAACAGTGCATGTTCAGGTTACACTGTACAGAAAAAGACACACACTGTAGATAATTTTTTTTAGAATTTGTTTCTTATATGACTGAACTGGAGAAAGAGAAAAAGTCTTTAAATGTGTAAAAAGACACACACATACAAAATTGATAGAACAAAAACTTGAAAAGAAACCACAATCCCAGCATTTAAACTTTCAATGATAGGGGTGCTTCCCAAAGAAATATTCTGGATGAATAGACACTTCAAACAAAGTAGATCTGAATATATTAAAAGACTTGCTACCATACCAACTACAAACCACATCAAGAAGTAAATGTAATATAGAAATGTGTATACGTCTGAGAAAATATACATAATTTAACTACTAAACTATGGTGCATGCCTCTACCAGTACAACTAATAAACACAATACAACACAGTACTCTTCAACTTCTGCTGCTTGTGGTTCCTCATCCTGCCCACCCCTCTCTTTGGAATCTTCCTTCTTGGCTGGTTCTCTGGCACCAGACTTGACAACCCCTTTTTGTTTCATTGGAACAGTCCCACTTTTCTTCTTCTGCTGCAACAGAGACCGAGCCATCTTTTTGGAGTCTGATTCTGAGGACTTCTTCAGGTCCTTCACAAATCTCCTTCTTGGTGGCTCTTTTGAGTCCTTCGGTGTCTTTGAGGTATCTTCATCTTTTGAATCATCTGACTCTTTTGGTTTCTTTGAGGGATCTGGTTTTTCTTCATCCTTTGAATCATCAGGTTTTCCCTCCTCAACTTTTGTGGCATTCTTTTCTTCTAATTTTTCAACACCATCAGCTTGCTCAACATCATTTGGCAATGCCTTTTCAGGGTTATCTCCCTTCTCTGTGTTTGTCTCAGATTTTGAATCAACATCTTCATTGCTTTCCAGTTCCTCAGAAAACTGCATAGTGATTACAATCTCTGGTTTTTCCACTTTTTCTCCACCTTCCACTTTTTTCACATTAGCTACTTCCTCTTCCACTTCCACATTATTATCAACACCCATCTTACCTGCATTTGCCCCTGACTGATCCTGACTGCTAAATTTATTCATAAACAAGAAATATTTTTGAAATGTACTCACAAAGTAATGCATATACATCAGTTAAGTAGCGGTGTATTTTAATGTGATTGTAAAAAAGCAATCTATTAGCATCGTGAATGAACAAGGAAAAAAATTAAAAATCGGTGAAATTGAAAAAAAAAACTCTATACAGTGGTAGAAATTCTATCCAAATAAAGCAGGGCATAATACACCCTTTTTACTATCAACATCAGTCAATATACCAACATTCCCATCCCAAACTCTCAACAATTTATTATTTTCTTCTGAAGATTTTTGCATCTACCCTTTTTGGTCCAGGGTCCTGTACCCTTTCAATGAGGAATTTTAAATCAAAAAGGTTGCAAAATTTGGAAATATTAATGTATTATTATATTAGTTTTACTGTTGAATAAAATTAAAGAGTTTTTAAATTTGTTTTCTTCATCATCTCATTTGGTTTGCGTAAGTTTTACATGTCAAATGATACCCAGCTCCTTTTAAATTGAAATAACTAACTGGTATTGAAAAAACTTTTTATTATGATAAGTTTATAAGTGATTTAAAAGACCTTTTCATTCATATCATTTCTGTGCTGCATGTGAAGTTGAAATAAATATTTGGATTATTTGAATAAAAAAAGTGCCGGGTGAAATAGGACAATAAATATATACCTTGTTTTTGCCTCCTGTTCAGCCTTTCTTTGTTCAGCCTCTTTTTTGAATTGAGCCATTTTGTCTAAAGCAAAGTTAGCAAATCAAAGCAAAACCATACACCACAAAGTTACAAGTAGCTTAAACATACAGTAAACCAATTTTCATACCACCAAAAAAAAAAAAAAAAGAAAAAGAAAAGAAAAGAAAAACTCACAGAAAAAGGTATGAAATTGATTGAATTAAATGTTAAGTAAAATTTGTTAAATTCAATTCATATACAGTTCATAAAACTGGTTTGGGTTGCAATTTTGCAAATGGTGGTATATTAGATCAGCATTTGAAAGTTGGTTTACATTCTTTGTCAGTTAAATTGTTTTCAAATGAAAAAAATCTACTTTTTGTTGTTTATGTGCCAAATATATTACCTAATATTAACTAAATAACTTCATTTTTAAATCAAAATGAGAATTACACATTGTCAGGTGAAAGCAGATATTTTTCATGTCAAGGTAAAATATTATGAAACTAGCCTCATAATCGATTCTTGCCTAGATTCATACAATTAATGCTATAATGTTGCAAATTATTAGTTTACAAGATTGAATTTGGTCAGTTGTAAATTTAAACATTATAAAAACTGCATGGTTTAATATTTTAGTAAGCTTAATATCAAAAAACTTAAATATATGCATGGTTACTCTTAAAACAGAGAAATTAATGCTTAAATGAACTTGTTAACATTTGATGAACATGCATTTGGTATCCATGGTAGCCTAATTTTAAAAACTGGCAAAACAGATTAATTAAATTTAAAAAAATTATCAAGTCCTTAAATTATTACCCTTCGTCTTCTAAAATCAAAGTTAAGAGAGGCATATGATTACAGAAGATTTAAATCATACTGATATGTTTCTATTTGTTTTATTTTTATTTTATACAAAGCATATCTTAAAATCTTTTACTATAATTATTCATTCAGAAACAAAACATTCTTTTTTATCTGATAACAATGTGTTTATAAACATGATATACATTTGGTGCATTAGCATACCTTCTGCTCCTGGCTTTGCCCTTGAACCAATTAGACCTCGGCCTTTTGGCTTCGGTTCTTCTTTTTCAGGCTGGGGCTGTGAGACAGGCTGTTGAAAATTTTTAAAAAAATGAAAATTAAACATAAATTAATAAAAAAAATCTCCCTGTGGAAAAAAATGTACATATTTATAAACCAAAGCATTTTATGGGGGATAACTCTTGCATGTCTAACTTACAGAGGTGTTTACCCCCATGCTGCAGTTTTCAGTAATTTACATGTAAATGGTTTCTGTCTGTAATTTGAGCTTTTCATCGGTATACTATAATTTTGAGTTGCCAATACCTTGGCTTTATATTCAAATGTACATTTGATAACTTTTATATTTGGATGATATTTGATTGTTATGTTATCATCTGTATCAGAAAGTATCATACATATAAAATGACAATTCAAATAAAAAGCAGTGCCTTGGAAGGTCTTTTAGTGAATTCATATAACTGTTAAAGTATAAATATGACATAGAAAAAAATAAAATTCAGAGCATAATTTCTGGAGTTCAATCCGTAATCCGCATTTTAAAGTAAAATCCATGACAAATATGGAATTTCCATAACAGTAAACAGCTCTGGACTTATTAACAATTTACATTGGCTTTACTGTAAATATTACTTTTCAAAGTTTTAAAGATTTTATTCATTTATCTCACCCTTTCTGCATCAATCCTTTTGGTCCTTTTAATCTGGTCCCCTAGCGTAATGACACATTTTAGTTCCCGCTCTTCTACTTTGGTTGGCTGGTACACTCTACAGTAAAGGTAGTGGTCATACTCAGGTTCGCCCGTCCACACTGTGACATCACTAGAGGGCGGTTTTACGTACACTGGGGCTGGAGGTTCTTTAGGGGAGGCAAATCTCACTTTCTGTTTTTTAATATCACAAATATTTGATTATTGATATTTTCAAATCATATGGTTCAATTATTCAGAAGTTCAATAAAACAATATCAACTTCCAAATTTTTGTCTCTTTAAATTAGAAAACTTTTCTTAATGAGTATAGACCTCAAAATCACTAAGAGCTTCTAGTTCAAGTTTTACAATCTTACTGCACAGATACATTAGAAATTTTTCCAAAAGATACACTCATGTTTTTTTTTTGTCTCAATTAGAAGATTTTTTTTTTCTGGTAAAAAATTTCAGATATTCCACAATGCATGGACTCAACATCAACTTTGTACAAATAAAGTGTTGAAAGAGAAAAGATGATGAAAGGGGAGATGCCAAAAGAGACAGAACTGAATTTAAAAAAAAAAATAATAATGATAGGTAGACCCTCTAACTACCTTGGGGGAGCCAACTCTGGTAGAATCCTCTTCCTCTTTCTCAGATTTTTCTGTCTCCTCGCTGCTGTCTTTACCTGTCGAAGTTTTCTCATCATCTTCTTCACCTTCTTCTAGGTCCTGTAACCATAGCAACCAGGTAATTATATATAAACATTTAATACAGTTCAAACAGAAGAGCAAAAATCTATCTCTAGCAATTCAATAAATTATACTGTATACAGGGTTATTTTTGCCCTTTTGCACTTACAAATACCGGTAATTTTCACCCATTTTAAACTTGCTCAATCAGAGTCCTGTTTAAAAAATTATGCTGTGTTTTTTAAATTCATCGCGTTTTTAATTCGCCCACCTGTGAGTAGGATGGAGGGGGCGAAAATTTCCCTGTATACAGTAGTGATGCATTTATTATATTGTACATACATGGTATCCAATTAGAATCTATCTTAAAATGGTATTTTAATTACTTTTCTTAATAAAAGTATTATAAAAGTTAATCAACAAGCATAGGCAAAATAACACTTGAACCCATGAAACATTCCTAGGAAAGTCTTAAAATGCTATCTGGCACATACACTGTAGACTACAGACTTTAATAAAATCTTACAGATAATTTGTCGCTGTCCTCTCCCGGTCGTTTTATTGTCATCGGCATGTCGTCTTCCTCATCTTCTTCTTCATCAGAACTTTCCTCTAGAGCTCTTGTGTACTCCTGCACATGCTCAAGACTAAAAGAAGACACATAATTTTAAAAGCAAGTCTAAATACCCAATATTCCTGACAGTCTAGAGTGTTTATAAGAATGTCAAAACTCTGAAGAGGGGGGAGGGGAAGGGGGGGGGGGGGGGGTTAGTCATGTATTTTACCTTTTAAGCCATAATCTGTATGTGATCATTAATACGTGTTCAGTTGCAATGACAGGCCTAGGGTTCATAAATATTAAACAGGTTCAGATCAAACCCACTCCATCTATTAAGTGTGTACATTTGTACATTTATGTATATTTAAGCATATACTTACTGTATTTTCAATTATACAGAATTTTTTTTATATGTATATCTTAAGGTTAAAGTTCTCTCATAATACTTTCTGATCTTTGGTAGTTCATGTTTACTTGACAATCATTGCTGAAACAATATGCCGTATATAGTATCACAGTTTTGTAAAGTGAAGTGGTTTGAAGAATTCTTGAATCAGATGTACATATCTCCCTCTTCACTCTTATAAGTGTTCCCAAAAGGCTTAATTAAAATTGAAGTGATGTAAGCACTATATATCCCAATAGACACCACTGTTTTCTTTTCATAGACATAAATAATCTCCTTCAGTAATATAATTATGATCATACTTCATATTCTTGGGACATTAAGTTCAATAAAATCAAAATCTGCATACACATGATAACTACATGTAATTATTTTTTCCCTCATTACTCTCTCTGGTAACTTTTAAAAAAAAAAATCTTGCCAAGGAATTTTTAATGGCCATAGTCAAAAGAATTTTTAAAGAAGTTAACAATTTTCGCACTTTTAAATACGATCTACAAATTTAGTGCTTTCAAGAGGTATCCATCTTAACTCACTATAATAGTGTATGAGTTTTGAATCCTACACAGCCACTTAAAATTAATACATCTGTACTTTCCAATTGACTTTTTTGTGTAAAATAGAATTTGAGATTACACATGCCAATATACGATAAAAACTTCCTGTCAACTCACCCTAGTTTTGCTTTTTGTTTGATAGTCTCAATCAGGAATTTCCATCTTCTGCCATGGCCCTTGTTGCTCATAATCTTGGCAAACAACTTTTCCCAGTTCATAATGCGCTTCTCTCTGGCAATTCTCTTTGACTGAAAATAAAATTAAAAGGTATTTTATAAAAAAAAGCATGCAAGAAATATTCTCTTTGGAAATGATAAAATAAAATTATTTGCTTAGCAACCAAAAATCTACTGGACAGTTTTATTGGGCACAAGTTTTCATTCATGCGCAACTTGATCATTATACATACAGAAGATTCAATGATTTGATCTTCTTACAATGTTATCAATATTGGGGATACAAATTCCTTGGTAAGGACTAAGGACGATACATGAAATCCACCAACATTGATCCCCCACAAATAATGAAGATTCCACAGTAGAGTACACATGCACTTATTAATTAGTGAATTTAAAAATAAACATTAAATTAAACATCCCCACCTTCAAAACAGCATAATTTCATAGTTTTCAGACCTGTCTACCTTTTTTATGCATGCAGGTGTAATTTTGATCCTAGTTTAATGGCGTAATAGTGTAACTTAGCGACAAAAAGCAGAAGAATTACGCCAAATGTAGAAAGGTAGGGAGGTCTGAGTTTCATAAACTTACATGTGCATCAACAAGCTGCAGCCTTTTTACAGCAATATTCAGCTGTCTTTGTTTATTTTCATAATCTTCATGTAGTTTCTTGAGTGCTGCACTTTTTTCTTCCCAGGGTGTCGAGTACACTCGCACAAGTCTGACCAGCTCATTAACAGGCATGTTAAGGTCACTCACACTAAAATATAAAAAAAAATATTTTATAAATGTCTTTATTTCATTTGACATTTACATGAAATAAACTACTTAAATCACGTTATTTTAAACTCAGTCCCATTAAAGATTGTTTCCTGATAATGAAGCAGACTTGATGAGTGCAGGATTACATGTATAATGTAAGAAATATCAAGGGCAAGTCTAAGTGATTTACTATTCTCATGTATCCTGCATATTACACAGCAGTCAAAATATCAAGTACTGCCTCTTTTTTTTTTCTTTTTTTTTTTAAATTGCTGTTTTCCAAAAATGAATGACCCAAATTTTCAAGAATCAAAAAAATTAAATTGTGAAAATTTGTTCAATAATAACAAAAAAAATATTTTTTTTTTTTTTTTTTGGGGGGGGGGGGGGGGAGGGGGTTATAGAGTTTAAGTCTTATATATTAAGATTATAAGCTTTTGCCATATCCTATGAACAGATGTTGAAGAACACTTTGGCTTCTGAAATATACTCAGTCTGTTAACTGGTATACATATTTTAAATTTTAGAGGAGTGAAGGAGCCCAGGATTTAGTTACAGTCATTTTTTTTATTTTATTTTATTTTTCTAACCTACCAAACTGATATTTTGGAGAAAATAAAATTGTGAGAAACATCTTATGAAATATGGAGATAAGGAACAGTATTCAAGCTCAAAGTCCATTAAAACGATACAAATCAGGAGCAGAGCAAACATGGACCTCCAAAAACATCAGACGTGAGATCAGGTGCCATGGAGGAGTGAGCATCCCCTGCCAACCGGTCACACCTGCCGTGCGCTCCTTGTCATGATCAGTAAATATCGGAAAAATCCACCAACAATTCAGTGTTTAAATAATGGCCTTACAATTAGTATGAAAAACATCAGTCAGCATATGACTTAATGATAGATTGTATTTGCTCACAAGGTCATTGTATTGACCATAGAAATTACAAAATGACTTTATAAATGAGACTGTTGATATTCTTGTTTCATCAACTTGTTTGTCAATAACTTACCTCGTTTTAGAAATTGTTCATAGGTAGAGCATGCTCTTGTGTATCAATCAACTGAGAGATATATATACAACCCATATGCAGGTGACAAAATAAAATAGAAGCCTTTGTATTTATAAAAAAAGTTCTGGACATGCAGTTAATTTGAAATCCATATAAAAAATTAAATCAAAAATGTTATTGCAGTGGATTACATTTAAATTTTATCTTTTAATGTACCATTTCAGGTTTAATTTATTACCTTCTGAGGACTTTGCCAGTGACTGTTGCCAGTTTTAATTACATACCTTCTGAAGACTTTGCCAGTGACTGTTGCCAGTTTTAATTTATTACCTTCTGAAGACTTTGCCAGTAACTGTTGCCAGTTTTATAATTACATACCTTTTGAAGACTTTGCCAGTGACTGTTGCCAGTTTTAATTACATACCTTCTGAAGACTTTGCCAGTGACTGTTGCCAGTTTTAATTACATACCTTCTGAATACTTTGCTAGTGACTGTTGCCAGTTTTAATTACATACCTTCTAAACACTTTGCCAGTGACTGTTGCGAGTTTTATCAGCAATGTAGGAGGAAGAGCATGTTTCAGCATCTCATCTTTCATATTTAGAAGCTGCAACAGAAATACAATGTACATGTAGGTAAACAGTGTAGGTGAAGCACTTTTATTTTATATGTTTTCTGTGACAACTTTATAAATATTGTGCAATAATCCTTAAGTTTGAAATCTAGAGAAATTCATTTCTATCACATTTCTACATAAATCTAGGTCTCAAACAATCCTTGTCAGCCATGAAATCCCAGGGTTTTTTTTTAGGTCTTAAGATCAAGGGCCTGGGCCTTTCCATTTGAGAAAAATAACGGCATTTGGTTTGAAATTGGGAAAAATATCACATTTAATATTTTTATAAATAAATTCAAATAAGAGGGGTTTTTTTCATTTGCAAGGTATTTATTGACTTATTTTACATTCAGTCAATCAGTTTTTGGAACATGCCTTTTATATATGTATTTTTTAACACCATTCTTAATATACATGTTACTGAGTTCAGACATTTTTTAACCATATTTATTTGTTTTGATTCTCTTTTGGGAATTTTCTTTTATGAAATTGGGAAAAACACATACTTTTTACCATTGGGAATGGGGCCTATTACAGGCCCCCTACGACCCCTAACCCCCCCCCCCCCCCCCTGAAATCATATGCTATTAGATACCATATTTAAGTTCTTCATATTTTTTTCTATCCAACATATTTAACACATTTAAACAAAATGAATATTTATTTCACAGTTTACCTCTTGCATAGCTCCATGTACATAGGCCATAGTGTTGGTGACACCATCACACAAGTTGTCAAACTTATTGGGCTCGCGTCGAGCCGAGGGATCGGGCTCATCATCATCATCGCTCTCAGACTCGTCCGAGCTTCCCTGGAAAAAATAAACACGATAAACAAGCACTGACAATGGATAATATATATGCAATGAAGATAAGTTTTTGTACTCATAAATTATGTTTAAGAGATGTACCTAATATTTATAGAACAAAATTAATATTCATTTTCATACAGCCAAATATTTTTTGTTGTCAGTAACTAAAAATTTTAACATATATATAATTTTAAAAATTCTAAATAAAAGTACTGGTATATGGCACTGAGTCAGAGAGCAATTATATCTTTAATTTTTTATGATTTTTTTTAAATGTTAGTTTTTAGTACAATGTACTTATAAGCATGGTAAAGATATAGAACTTTACATTGTAAATCATTGAGTGATTGATAGCTTGCTGTTTTATATCCCTTGCAAGATTATTATTAAGTAGATTGAGGCAAAAATTACCTATCTCTGTTATATATACCCAAAATCCAAAGCGAGACCAAGGCTTGAAGAATTGGCGAAATTTTTAAAGTTGAACATTATCCTAGATTCCTAGGATCTCTACATTTCTCAAAATCATTGTTTTCATTGAAATGTTAAAAGAAGCCTGGCTTTTTCATTCTTTTTGGGAAGAATTTTACTTTAAAATTTTAAAAACATTATGGGGAAAAGGTCATTTCTTTTGGGAAGAAAATAAATATTTCCTTTAATATGAGAAACTGCATCTATTTGGCTGTGATTTGGGTGGTCATGATAAGATCCATGGGCCACAAAGCTCACATGAGTCACTATGGCCTTGCTAATTCAGCTATTCTTCATAAGCAGATCTTTTCCTTTATATATTCCTTTGTAAAATTTTGATCACATATTTAGGTCCAAACTTACCCCAAGGGGTGATGATTTGTACAAAATTTTAATTTGATTCAACAGCTACATAAATTTCAACTCCTCTGGTCCAGTCAGGTTCTTGAAAAGAAGATTTTTTAAAAAAAAAAATTCCTCTGTATCTCTATGTAAATTTTGATCACCCATTGTGGCCCCACCCTAATTCCAGGGACCATGATCTGAAGAAAGCTGAATCTACACTACCTGGAATATTTCCATATAAATATGACAAACCCTAGCTTTGCTGTTCTTGAAGACTTTCAAAGATTTTTCCTATATCTTCCTATTATATGTAAAACTCTGATCACTCATTGTGGCCCCATCCTTCCCCCAGTGGTCACGATTTGAACAAACTGGATTTTACACCATATCATGAAGCCTTTACATACTAGTTTCAACTCTTCTGCCCCAGTGGTTCTTGAGAAGAAAATATTTTAAAGATTTTTCCTCTGTATTTCTAAAATGTAATTTTTGATCACCCTGACTCACAGTGGCCCCAACGTACCCTGAGGGGTCATAATTTGAGGAAACTTGAACTGACACTACCTGAGGATGCATGCTTCCATATAAATATCCTGACTTTGCTGTTCTTGAGAAGAAGATTTTTCTTTCATGTTCCAAATTGTAAATTAAACTTTGACCACTTATTGTGACCCAACCCAATCCCCACGGGACATGATCTGAACAAATTTAAATCCACACTACTTGAGGATGCTTCCACACAAATATGATTAATCCTGGCTTTGCTGTTCTTGAGAAGACTTCCAAAGATTTTTTCCTTTTTCTTCCTAATATGTAAAACTTTGATTACTCATTGCGGCCCCATCCTTCTCCCAGGAATCATGATTTGAACAAATTTGATTCTACACCATATCATGAAGCATTCACATAAGTTTCAACTCTTCTGCCAAGTAGTTCTTAAGGAGATGAGTTTTTTTTTTTTTTTTTTTTTTTTTAAATTTCCTCTATATTTCTAAATATTACTAAAACTTTGACCACCTATTGTTCCCCTACCTACCCCAGGGGTCATGATGTGAACAAAACTACACCACCTGAGGATGCTTCTACATAAATTTAATCTTTTCTGGCTTAGGTCAGGTTTTTGAGAAGATTTTGAAGATGCCATTAAATCTTCACTAATTCTTAATCATTTCCCCTTGGAAGAGGGCATGGTCCTTCATTTGAACAAACTTGAATCCCCTTTATCCAAGAATGCTTTGTGGTAAGTTTAGTTCAAAGTGGGCCTAGTGGTTCTTGAGAAGAAGTTGAAAATGTGAAAAGTTTACAGATGGACAGTCACACTGATGGATGTGCAGACAAAGCTCACCAGCCTAAATGGCTCAGGTGAGCTAGAAAACATTGAAAATCAAAGATCCCTTAAATGTTCTATAGTGGCCACTGGAGAGGAACTTGCTGCTGAGTTAGCTTGGACATTGTTCCTTATATATAAATGTCATTCACATCATGAAAGGTATCAAGGACAACACTCTGCAACTTTATTATGATAAATAAATAATATTGTCCAAATTCATCTTGAGTTTTAAGTTGATAAATTAAACAGTAGATCATACAAAAATTGTTTTCAAATATGATTTTCCTGATTTCAAAGTACTCTGTTTCCTCTCATCTTCCTGGATCTAGTTAGAGAGTGCCGCTTGGCTTTAAATATCGCAGTGACACGTAACTGTGTGTTCTATATTAACAGCAGTTTAAGTGGCTTCTAATTTAGTACTTTTGAGGTTATTTCCCAAGTCACGATTAGATGCTGCAGAAAAAAAAAATATATTTCCTGATAAAAACAAAAATCTCCTAAACATTGTAAAAACTACTCCAGTCCCAGTCATTCCTCACTGGATGATCACAGATTCAGCTTTCATCAGAAATAAAGAAATCTACCATCACAACTGCCCCGCTACATATTTGGTCATTTTCTTTTGCAACTTAAGGTAAGTGATTGACCCATTTGTTACATTAACTTCTAGACCATTTTGTGATAGAAACAATAAAATTTATTTTAAAAGCCTAAAATATTTGTCAATGAGTTACACTGATGCCCTTAGCACAGCTGTGCTTTAAACTCGGTGAATTTCTTCACATCAGCTGACCTAGCTATAAACATCGCAATTAAAAACATTAACATACTAATTATCATGATTATAGATTGATAATTTTAATCCTCTTAATATGTATAACTATATGTCAATTTCAAATGAGTTAATGAATCAAAATGCCCTAAGCTGAACTTGCAGACACACTCACTATCAAATTTTACACAGAATCTATGTTCTAATTGAATAACACAATTAAATACTTCCTCTTTGCTTTATCAGCTAACATTATTTTAAGGCCTGGAGAATGATATCAGATATCCTAGCTTTATTATAACTATCATATCTGGCAAAGTATCAAATTCAAACTAGAAATATGTCAATAGGACATGAATGCCCCACCCAGGGTTCATTACTAATGCAACAAGAACATCTTTATTAGTGTATGAGATTTGATGAGAATACCTTGAATAGTTGCTTTAAAACTGGGTTAAATACACAACTAGAAAACTGACCAGTCAGCAAGGGCCCCGCCGAGGGGTAGAAATAATAGGGTGCACCTTACAGAATGAGAATTTTACTTCATTAAAAAACTTAAAAATATTATGAAGAAGAATAAGCCACAGTAAATGTATTTATAAAATTTCAAGATAATTCCTAATATCCAACAACCTGTAAATAGCATCCTTGCATTTACATAAGGCAGTAAAAACATCATATCTTATAATCATGATAACTCAATTAAATGTGTATTTAAACAAGAATATATGTTTTATAAAATGCCAGCCTTCAGCTAATGAGAAAAGTTTATGACAGACACTATAGAGCAAAAAAGCTCACTTGAGCCTTAAGCTCAGGTGAGCTAAAAATTGGACACTGTTGATAAATTTTCTCCAAATAATGTATCAATGCTTAAACTTACATTAAAAAACTCTGGAAATTCAAGTTTCTTAAAAACTAAGCTAAACACAAAATTGAGAAAAAGTGAGGTCAAGGTCAAAGAAAAGGTCAAGGTAAAAAAAGAAGCACTTGAATAGTTCTCCTCAATATATATCAGCATATAAAGTTTGATAAGATATCTTGATTTGTTTCTTTGAAACTGAGCTTAACACACACTTATGGAAAGTGAGGTTATGGTAAATTGAAAGGTCAAGGTCAAAAATGTTAAAGAAATTGAATAATTCCCATCAATACGTATGAGCAAATAAAGTTTGATAAAAATATCTTGAATAACTTTCTTTGAAATTAAGCTCAACACAAATTTGAAGTCAAGGTCAAAAATGTTGGTGTCATTGGATTTCTCTCATCAATATGTATGAGCATGTAAAGTTTGATATAAAATATCTTAAAAAACTTCCTTTGAAATTTAACATAACACAAATTTTAAGTCAAGGTCAAAGGAAAGGTCAAGGTCAAAAATGTTGATGCCATTCTTGGAAAAATATGAAATCTATATTAAATTTCACAGATCGAACAAAAAGTCTGTGAACCAATGCTCACTAATAATACCCCCACTCTGATGTGAATACACAAGTTCAGTTATGAACAAACACAGTAATAATCAGGAAATTGGCTTAGATTTGTAAAACAAGAGGCCCAGGGGCTCACCTGTGCACTATGGCTAGGAAAAAGTAGAAATCAGTTCAGTCTTGAAAGGTTGAAAAGTTTAAATATAAAAGTAGTTTGGGGGGGGGGGGGGATATGATACACTAACTAGAAAACTTTGATCACCCATTGTGGCCCCACCCGACCCCCGGAGGTCATGATTTGAACAAACTTGAATCTACACTATCTGAGGATGCTTCCATATAAATATGACCAATCATGGCTTTGCTGTTCTTGAGAAGAAGATTTTTAAAGATTTTTCCTATATATTCCTATGTAAAACTTTGATCGCCCATTGTGGCCCCAACTGACCCCCGGGGGTCATGATTTGTACACACTTGAATCTACACTATCTGAGGATGCTACCATATAAATATGACCAATCATGGCTTTGCTGTTCTTGAGAAGAATATTTTTAAAGATTTTTCCTATATATTCATATGTAAAACTTTGATCGCCCATTGTGGCCCCAACCGACCCCCGGGGGTCATGATTTGAACAAACTTGAATCTA